ACGGAAATTGGAATTCCAAGTAGTAGATCATGTTTTCTTCAAGGTCTCACCAACAAGAGGAGTTATCCGATTTGGGAAGCGAGGAAAGTTAAATCCATGTTACATCGGGCCATTTGAGATACTAGAAATGATTAGTCCTATAGCATATTGCATAGCACTGCCACCTGAACTGTCCAATATTTCACAATGTGTTCCATGTTTTGATGCTTCGACGGTACCTCTGAGATCTAGAACATGTTGTCTATTATTGGAATCTGGAAGTTCAAGAAAATCACTCTTATGAAGAACAACCAATGTAGATTCTCGATTGTCGTGATCAAGTTCTTCGAAACAAAACTATAACTTTGGTAAAATTCTTATGACGGAATCATCGCATCGAAGAAGCTACGTGGGAAACGGAGAATCAAATGCGAGCCCCGATATCTACACCTTTTTGAAAACTAAGGTACGACAAGTTTGAGGACAAACTTCTATTTAGAAGGGGAGAAATGTGATACCCTAAATGCGTAATTAAATACCCATAACTATATATATATAATTATGGTTGGATGTGATAATAATAGTATATAATTATTTTAAGAATTGGGCCAAAGTAAAATGACACTACAAGTTAAATAAATAAATAATCATAAGAAGAAAATATATTTAAGTACACAGTTATACGTGCTAAGGTATAATTTAATTTGGCATTAATTTATCAACATGGGAATAATATATTATCTAGGGGCTAAAACCACACTAATACGAAATTGTGACCAAAAAAAAAAAAAAATGGGCAAAAGAAAAATATAGTGTGAGGTGGCCAAACCACCTGTTAAGTCTAAGTCCTAGAGGCAGTGAATCATCACATAGGAAATTAATTACAGGGTGAGTCACCTGCTAAGCTCAGGTATAAATGGGAGTTACGGGTAGCCAACGAGAAAAAAAAAAAAAGCCTCGGAAGGCAGCATAAAGGGAAAAAAAAGAATTAGTAAGAAAAGGCTAACGGTCAATATTAAGATGAGTTATATTATATCTTGAGCCACCATAATATATTTTACATATGTTTTGGGTTACCATAAATTATTTTACACAATCTATGTTTTATAAATTATATTAATATTTTGATTACGTTAATTATTTTCTGAATTCTATTTGCTTAAATTAAAACCCATGGATATGTTTGTTTAATTTTTAGAAATTATTTGACAATAGTTTTATAAACAATTATGTTTTATAAGTATCACCGCGAGAGTCCCCTACATTGGGAGACTTAAATAACTATTGGCTTCTATTTGGCCACTTACTGGTCCTCTGTTTGTCATGGATCCATTGATCTCTCTGTTCTGACTGTCACTCCTATGACCTCTGTTCTATTTTGTTATGTACCGTGGTTATAGTTATTTATTTACATAATTTCTGTATTTCAGTTTCTGCCACTTAAATAATTTGTTTATTCAAATTAAGTTATGTTAATATTTTAACTTAAATAACTATCCATGGTTATTTTGTATCCCCTATATTCTTGGCATAACGTTTTTCACTCTGCTGTGTGCTTATAGTTGTTACGCTTTCAGGTGATGAAATGTAAGGAAGACATGTAACCTCCTGTAATGGAACCCGCACAAGAATTTGATACTGATCCATCATTTTGTTTTTCTTTTCTTTTTTTCTCTAAAATTTTGTCACTGCATAATAAAATAATAAAAGCCCCACAGATGTATTTTCGATCATTAACGAAGAAAATTTTATGTTTAATTATTTTCTTACTTCCATTCTGTCTCCGCCTGTGCCATTTAATTTGTTAAAATTAGAATTAATTAGTAAGTTGCGATTTCAGCCCTAAGTCTCTGGGGTTAGGTCGTGATATAAAATTTTCCTTTAGCATTCTTCAAGTAATGAAGTTTCACTTGGAGTTTTCTTTTGTTATCCTTCTTTGTAGTCTCTCCATTATTGGGATTACTTGGAGCTGGACTCCCTCTATTTTTTAGACCCTTCATTTGGCATAACAACTCTTAACTTAATTCTCTATTTCCCAACTCTCCCATATCACATGATTCAAGGATATCAACTACACGGAGTGTTAAGTCTGTTTTGGGTATAATTTATTTATTTTTATTTATTATGAAAAAACGTTGTTCAGGATCTATGCACAATCTTGCTAGGTAGCTTGAATTAATTAAGGCTCGAATGGCTTGAGATGCCAAAACGATGTCATTTTGGCACCTTTTTTCTTTTCTTTTCTTTTCTTTTCTTTCCTTCTTCCTTCCCCTCTCTTCTTCCTCTTCTTCCTTTCCATAACTCATAGGTTCCATAACTCAGAATCAAAAAAAGAGATAGATGAAAGAGATAAAGTAGAAAGGGAAAGAAAAATCAGAACAATCAAACAAGGAAAAAAAAGAAAGAAGAGGAGGATGAAAGAAATAGAGAGAAGAACAGAGGAAGAAAGAGAGGCGGAAGAAGAGAAAATGAGAAAAGAAGAGGAGGAAGAACAAATCTATGTGTGTATACATAGATCTGCGTATACACATAGGCGTCGTCACTGGGTAGAGGGGTTTGTGACCGACGGTGATGGCGGCGTAGGTGGTTTGCGACGGCAATTCCGGCTCTCTTTCTGTCTCTGTTTCCCCTCCATCTTCTCTCTTTCCCCCTCTTTCTTCTATTGCCTTTCTGTTTCAAAGAGATAAGAGAGGGGGAAAAAAAATGGCCAAAACAACATCATTTTAAAATTCGGGCCACTCGAGCCTCCAATTTTTTAAGCTACAAAGCAATACTTATCTATGTAGGATTGCTTATGAGGAAGAGGACTAACATGTCTAAATGGAAGATGTTCCTCTATCCCTATAATTATTAATCTCTTTAGAAGTATTTTTTAAGTTGCAATTACTTCTCCTATCTCAAAAAAATTAATAATAATTATCTTGTTTGGTTTCAATTTTTTAACTCAATTTTTTGAAAAATTGAGTTTTTTATTTTTGTGTTTTTAGTGATTTTTTTTAAATATTTGAAGCAATTTTTTTTTTTTTTACTTTTTAGATACACCTAACTTAAATGTACCTAAAAAGTAAAATATTGTAAAAAAATATTTCAAAAAATCAATAAATATACAAGAATATAAAAATGTATTAAATTTTTACATTTAAAAAATATTTTTGATATTTAGTGAATTTTTTAAAGATTTTTTTCACAAATATTATACTTTTTAAGTATATTTATGTTAGATTTATCTAAAAATTTTAAAAAAATATTTAAAATATTAAAAAAATTCAGTGAAAATAAGAATATATATATATGAAAAATAAAAAATTTAATTTTCTAAAAAGTAAATTCAAAATTATGAAATCAAACAATGACCTATTTTGAGAAGTAGGTTAAGGGCGAGCAGCGGATATATCGATCTGTCCAAACCGACTGAACCAAGCTGATCTGCTGCATTTTGGACGAATGCGTGATGACAAGTAGACGATTGCGGATTGATTTTTTCCAATCCACCTAGGGGTAAGCAGCGGATATATCGATCTGTCAAAACCGACTGAACCAAACTGATCTGCTGCATTTTGGACGGATGCGTGATGACAAGCGGACGGTTGCGGATTGATTTTTTCCAATCCGCCTAGTTTTGGACGGATGATGGATTTAAGGTTCATTTGGCCGCAACCGAACCACCAAACCACGAGCACCCCTAATAATTTGTAAGATTTTGTATTTTCAATTTATTTAGATATTCTGTTTGTGTTTTCAACTGAAAAAGAGTTTAAATATTCTGTTGAAAAAGAGTTTTCAACTTGAATAAATTTTTAGAATTGAAAAAAATAAATGTATTATTTATCTATATTTTTTTGATTTTTAAATCTAATTCTAAAAATAATAAATAAATAAGATGATATATGTTGGTTGGTTTTTATTTTCAAAAATAGATATAGATGTAAAAATAAAGAGGCATACAATCTCTACGATTGCTTTGTTTATGATTTTGGTAATTCGAATTGTTTTTATATTTTAAGAATCACATATTATAATACTTTATGTGGATGAGACATGCTGTGATTGTAATATGTGGATGAAACATTCAGTAATTGTAATATTCTAAAGTTTCAAACTTTCTTTTTTTGGATGAGGCATGCAATGACTGTAATACTTTTTTAAGTCATTGACTGTAACTTTTTTTTTTGCACAAATTGAATTATGTTGAAATTTATAAAATTTTAAACAGCCAAACCGATTTGCATCCATCCTCCAATCCGCTTAATCTGCATTCGCCGAATTGGTGAACGAATGTGGATTGATTTTCTTCAATCTGCCAATCTGGCTGACGGATGGTGAATTGAAGGTTCTGTGGCCGGAATCAACCCGCGCCCATCCCTAATTAAAAGTCAATTATTTATTTTTTTAGACTAGTTTTAAAAAAATATGTAAAAAAATAGATAGATAATGCGACTAAAAAAAACTAAAAAGCTAATTTTTTTTTGACTTTTAACCTAATTTCTAAAATAGGCCAAAATAAATAGGTTTTGAAGTTTTTATTTTCAAAATAAATAAAATCTATTTTAAAAAAAGAAAAAAAAGAAAAACTAATTACTGGTCCGACTCGGACAATTAGCCCGACTAACCCGAAATCTAACATGCTAACATGCTATTACAAAAATGCTTCGAACCCCAACTGGGGGGTCGACTCCCAGTGAGGTAGCGCGCGGTGATTGGGTAAAAAAAAAAACTATTTTATTTATTTTATTTTTTTTTTGAGTTTCGTCTAGTGGGGGCACGCCACCTCACTGGGGTGCGACCCCTGCAACATCATTGCATGCTATTAATATACATGATGAACCCGAGTGGTGATTCATCCCACTAATTTTTGGACCACTAATAGTTTTAATGAGCTTAAAAAAAAAAAAAAAAACAAACTCAAGCCAAAACATCACATCACTTTGGCGGGATCACTGTGCCACATCATTAGTGATGCTCAAGAGCTCCCAATTTAGTGCTCTAAAACATTATTCTGATGAACCCATACGTCTAAGCGTATCTGTACCGTTAAAAACAGTTGATGATCCAAACACGTAATCAATCATCAACCAGTTCAAAAGCACGAGAGAGATGGAGACAGAGATCGTACTACAAGAGCAATTTTGATTTTTTTATGGTTGTTCTCTCATGCTCTCTGCAAATCGTAGACAGTGACACACCATACGAACGATCTCTCAGAAGCTCAATCAAAACCCTAACTTTCACTCTAAATCTTCGCATTTCATGTTCTCGTCCATGGATTCATCAATTTTGCCCTAGAATTTGATGCAAGATTGATCGCGGACTCTGTACCTGTTCGTCGTTGTCTCGGACCTGTGTTTGAGCTGCAAAAGCGCTAAATTGACTTGCTTGTTCTGATTTCGATTTCGCTGCCTCGACTTCTTGTCATTTTTGGCCGTAATTGATTTATAAAGTTCAAATCTTTATACTCATCGTGCTTTTTTTTTTGTGTGTGTGTGTGGCTTGGGCGAAAATCTGATGAAAAACGATGATGATTTACATAATCACTGCCAAAACATTGATGCACATATATACGTATATATATTGTGTGCGTAGACTCTGTAATTCGTTAAAATGCACTGTTGTAATACAATTTTAAGTATTGCAGGATGGTTTGAGGAATTATTGAGGTGTTGGTGGAATTGAATCATTGGTAGTAGTGAGATGGATAAACCTACAAAGGAGGCGGAGGCAAAGGAGTCGAAAACGCCTACTATGCAGGTATGCTGTTTGATTTAAAGGCACATGTATTATGTGGTTGGTGATTGAAAGTCTTTTTTTAATATATATATATATATTGTTTAATGTCTTGTTGCACATTGGGTTGTTCAGGAACAGTCTTCATATACACCCACTGGCACTGCTAATCCTGAGTGGTCTGGTTTTCAGGTTCAACCGCTAGACCCATTCATTTCAGTCCTTTATTGTTCAGTTAAGAAATTTGATGGCAGTAGTTATTTGGTATGTATTGTGTTTGTAACAGGCATATTCTCCTATGCATCCACATGGGTTCTTGGCATCGAGCCCTCAAGCTCACCCCTACATGTGGGGAGTTCAGGTATATTTGTTTTTTGTATGGGGTTTAACTCAATTCTTTTCTCCCTAACATGTTTAAATTTATTTATTTATTTATTTTTTGAGATATAACCGTAGAGATTCTATTTTTGATTGCTAAGAGTAGTAACGTTGTGAAGACGGGAGAATTTGCTGATCTCTTTAACTAATTGATTGAGTTCACAGGTCAAACTGTTCCTCATATGATGCTATTCTACTGGTTAAGTTTCCAATATTCTCACAAATTCATGCTTTTGACCCTCACGCATTAATTTCTTATCACATGCAGTTTATGTTCCATATTTTGATTGAAGTTGAATATTCTTGACTCTTTTACGATTTCCTGAAGTTTGTCTTTTAATTTATTCACTTATATTAGTAACATGTTGTTAAACTTTGTACAAGATGTACATTTAATACGGAAAAGGTTACTTTATTACAATCAAAGATCAGTCTCTTTACAAGTCATTGAGTGGAATTGCACAAAATTATGATGAACAATAGTGCAGAAAGCAAGTTAGACAATGGTAATCAAAGCTTCCTAAGTGTCAGTTGCTGCATTAGAAAATTATTCCGTTTTAAGAGAGCATGAAGAATCACAGACAGACCTCTCGTTAGTTTTCATATTGATTCTTAGCAATGCTCGAAGCTCTTTAAAGACGTGGCATCACCTGCTTACTAAAGAGGCCAATAAGATTTCTCCAACTAAGAGAGGAAGAGGACCATTGAAGATTTAAGCAAATCGTCATTTCAGTTGATTCTTTAAAGCTACACTCTGGAGAATTCATCAAATTCTGGAGATAATGTTATGTACTATTAAGATATGATTAATTTAAGGGATAATTACTATTTACTCACAAGTCCTAAGTGATTTTTTTTTTAATTTATTTTTTAATGTATTTGCCCCGCGTTTTGATAATGAGAAAATTTTGGGGCTTTTAGATGTGTTTTGTGTTTGTGAAATGATAATTTGTTACTAATAATGATACTAATAAATTTATCAAAGTGATAAATGATTGGAACATTTTGGCTTTTGTTTGTGAATTTAATTTATTTTTAGTTTATTTGTGTTAGCTTGTATTGAAATATGATGTGGGAAGTGTAAATAGTTGAATTGTATTTTTTTAAAAATATTTTTACAGAGATAAATTTATCAATTAAAGTTGGAGTACGACTTTTTGATAAATAAGTCTATTCCACGGGATCGGCTCGTAACCACCCCTTAATTTAATTTATTATCCTTATAGGAATTTGAAAGAAATGATGTTTTTGTTTAAGAAATACCAAATAACATGATATCAAGTTTGAATATGAATGATTGGATCTTGTGATGAGCCCATAGACATAATCAAATATATATATATATATATATGAATATATGTGTAGCTGTGTATATGTATCATCAGAGATAAAAATTGCTGTGCACTAGAGATCCATAGTATCTTAGAATTATGATAATAAGTAACACTGCAGCTTCACATGGCTCTAAACTTTTGCATTTTAGTCATGGACATAAAGTCCAATGCAGCACCTCAAGAATAAAGACATGAGGGCTGAAATGCGTTTATTTTATATTTAATATTTATTCCGCTTTCATAAATATTAAGTAGGGCGACCCCATGCACGAGACTCCTGCTAATACTGTAGGTGCTGGACAGGATGCAACCTATTTACAGTGGAGTATATAGGAGCTAAGCTCCTAGTCCTACTAAAATGCTTGTATGACCTATAGAATCGATATAAGAAGACTTCATATGCATATATATTGCAAATGATTTTTTTCCCTCAGATTTTCTATGATCATCAGTAGCTTAAGTGAGAATGGTCTGTTTTTCTCTTTTAGCACAGAACCTTTAGAGTATGCATTAGTTGCAATTTCCTGAACCAGAGATCTTTTTGACTTAGCATTGAGCATTTCGGTACATCCTTTTCCTTTTGCTCTTTTTTTTTCCTTCTTCTGTATCTGCACATTCACACTTCACACTGCTTTCTTATTCACGTTTGTCAAGAAAGGGGCAGGATTGGGTGATTTGGATTTGTCCATTGCTTCAAGCGTTTGGTCTGAAGTGCAGAAATTTAGTTAATAACTCTATTTTATTTTTGCATATTGAACTTTTGCCCCGTAGTTTAATTTTTATGTTTATATGCAGCACATCATGCCGCCCTATGGTACGCCACCGCACCCATATGTTGCAATGTATCCCCATGGTGGCATATATGCTCATCCATCTATGCCTCCGGTAATTCTTGCTGATCGTCTTTTATTTGTGCTTCTCAAATCATACTCTCATTGTTTGGATGCTATTATGCTACTAACTATATATGCCGTGTTTCAAACTTGAATAGGGATCTTATCCTTTTAGTCCTTTTGCTATTCCTTCCCCTAATGGCATTGCTGAGGCTTCTGTGAGTTACTTGAACTCTGGTGTTACATGGTTTGTTGTTAAATAAACATGTCGTTGGTCATTTGGACTAGTTTAAACTGACATTTTAAATTTGCATGTAGGGGAATATGCCTAGCAGCATGGAAGCAGATGGCAAGTTGTCTGAGGGGAAGGAAAAACTGCCCATCAAGAGATCTAAGGGAAGTTTGGGCAGTTTAAATATGATCACGGGTAAAAACAATGAACCTGGTAAAACCTCAGGAGCCTCTGCTAATGGAGCCTATTCCAAAAGGTAAGACGTATGTGATTGGGTGATGAATTCCATGGCCATAAATAAGTTTCAGTTGCTACTCCATTCCTAGTGTGCACTGCCTGTTTATTAAACGAGAACTGTTGGCTTTTGGAGACTGGATGAAGAAGTTGGGTCTAGAAAAGCTACATGATAACAGGTAGGAAAGTTTGTAAATAAGTGCCAAAAAGAAGGGGCACATCAATGTACACTGTACGTACACAATGCTCTACCCTTTTACACAATAAAAAAACCTTCCATGATATCAACAGAAATCCCTATAAACATCTATACCTGGGGTCATCCTCCCTGCAACCGAGTTATATAATATAGCCTGATAGAAGACTCTTCACTCTATAAATCGATGCCTCTAATCCATCAGAAGACCTATTTCTTTAACAATCAAGCATAAATGAGCTACTAACTAAAGCTTTGTTCTGCCAGAGGATGTGTCCCATCTCTGATAAGTGATGGGCAAACAAATCTTCAGATTAATCACTGGGTCCCAAACAGGAAAAAAAAAGAAAAAAAAGAAAAGAAACGCAGCTTATCATTTCCTCCTTGATCACAAGGACATGTTGATGAAAGTAGCATTAATGTTTATGTGATTAGTGTATTATATTTGATGAATCTATTTAATGGTTCATGGTTGACCTGGGGCCTGCTTTGTTGCTTCTTGGCTTATTGCCTAAGCTAGTGACTTGATTGACTTCTCCTCACTATTAATCAATTGATACTGACATATCTGATTTTGTGTAAGCATGCAGTGTTGAAAGTGCGAGTGAAGGTTCAAGCGAAGGAAGTGATGCAAATTCTCAAAATGTATGTATTATGTGACATGGTTTTTATAAATGGATGACTTGAGTGCTTGGGTATGCTAGATCCAATAAAAATTTGATTATATTGTGTAGAATGTCTTAAAGTTTGGTGTTGTGCTCCATGAAGTTACATTTTGTTAGTTTTAACGGGTCTTATCTCATAGTATAATTTTTACACCACAAGATCACCACTCTAGGTTGACATTTTATGACAAACTAGTGTCTGCTAAGAGAGTTAGAGAGGCACAATTAGAAGTAACAGATTTGGCATAAATTTTGATCTTGAAGGCATGTGTTAGGAATTGTTTGTAACTAGAGGGTCTCACTGAAGATCTAATGCAACAATTGTTGTGATAATTTAAGTGATTTACATACAAAATGCTTGCATATATAGAAGTATAGGGTAATGTCAATGGTTTCTTACAGCTGAGGTTGCTGTGGTAGACAGAGTCACAGGTTCAAATAATAAATAACTCCATATTTTTTTCTCTACAAAAAAAGAGTGCCTTCATGTATTCTGACATTCAGCCACAACAACACTTGTTTACTTGCTGCGGCCAAAATAAGTATCACTACCAATATTAGATGTACTGTATTACATATGGAATTGGACGCATGACAGAAATGCATTGACACAAGGACATGGGCACAGACACAATGAGGGCAGACAATATATCGAGATATTTTACTGTATATACTTCTATTATGTGCAGTAATTATATGATTCTAATTAATTTATGAAAATTTGTTTGTTTGAGATTGCATAAGATGTTTTAATAAGTAATTTGCTTTTATTAGAAGACCAAACTTAACAAATGTAATTCACAACTATGCAGGTTATATTTATGTAGGTATGCAAATATATATATATATATATATGTGTGTGTGTGTGTGTGTGTGTGTGTGTGTGTGTGTGTGTAGGTGAGCAAGTGGAGCATCAAGGATAGAGATTGCCTCGGAGTCACCCTGTGGTCAGCCTTTTATGGAGCTCCCGAGATGGAGCCAACTTGGACTCATGAGGAGCCAAGCAAAGTCTCAACCCCCTTTTTGTCATGAACTCTTAGTTGATTTTTGGATTAACTAGCCCAATAGACTAATTAGAATATTTAGAATTTTATGACAACTTTCGTCAAAATTTGGTTCGAACCAAAATAATTAGAATAAACTGATTGAACTTAGTTAGAAATGAGCCTAATTAATTAACCTTAATCAACTTTGATTAGGCTAAGTTAATTACAC